AAGTTATTTTCAAAGTACCAAATTCATCTATATTATCTTCCAGAATTTGAAGAATTAACGGTTTAATTGCGTTTTTTAAAATCTCCAAATATACTTCATCGGTTACGTTAGAATTTAAAAAAATAGGCCCGACTATGTGGTTTCTCAAAGTACATACCTGCCCGGACATTTACTTTTGATGAAAACTGTGTATGTTCTTCACGAAACATGTGAGGTTTATGTCACTCCAGTACCTCACATTTTGAGTATTAACATTTCCATTAAGGAAGAAAGTACTTTCGTCACTAAAACAAATTGTTTTTACATAGACTGGCTGTTGGACAATTTTATTGGACATATTTTCATAGAATTCCTCTTTTGGGTCGGGGTTGGCATCTGAAGGTTGATGCACCATATTTAATTTGTATATATGAAATTTATTTTTGGTCAACACTATGACTGACTTCACAGATAGACGCACTATGAAGACTAGAGAGAAGTAACGCTAATAATTAAGCTTTTACAATTCACTGCAGGGACGCTGGTGTTGTTAGTGATGTTAAAAATACATGGCGTCTAATGGAAATTGTTAATAATTTTGTAAAAATAATAAAAATTAACTTTTTATTGCAAAATAAAATACAGAAAATATTGTATTTATTTCTAAATAAGTCTTGCTTGTTTTAAGTTATAAATTACTTAATTTTATCTATAAAATGCAAGTTAGGTATGACCAAATTTGAAAAGGTTTGTTAAATGGTGAAATTTGGTAAGTACAATTTTGTAGCTAAAGTTTTACATATGATTTATATCTCCTTTTACAACCTGGAACGAAGTAAATCTTGCTTTGTTGTTTTTTGTCACTCATTACTTGTACTTAGTTACTTTTTTTTCACATTATTTTGATTCTATTCACCAATTTAACAAAAAAAAACACTTTATTTCACATTGACTTACATAGAAAATTAACGACACTAACGTTCGACTCGCCAACTACAGTCAATTTGGTGAACTTTATAAAAAGAAAGACAGAAATTTGAAATTCACAGACTACTGTGTGAAGAGTATAATAAGATGGGGTTTAAAAGAAAAGATAGCTGCAAAACTTTATACAGGGTGTTTCATCTCAGACGAGCCACCCCGTATATTTCTTATCCCATAGTAATTGGAAAAATTTCCCGAAACACGTCGGATGATTTTCTTTCGGGGATATCTTTTGACATATATTTGAGGCTTGAATGAGCAACCCCCTATGAGGGGACGCTTCAACCCCTCAAAATTTATTGGGGAAGAGGGGTTGAGTGATACTTTATTTTTAAGGTCTTGAAAGCCTCTTTACAACGGTGTATGAAAAAATCACATTCCTAAAAAAATTAATAATTGTTTTATCATACATGAAATGATCGAAAAAACGTGATAAACACCTTCTAAGAACAAAAAATGAAGGCAAGATAAGAAAATGTTTTGATTTTTTTTTATTTATTAGTTCGAGAGAATTTATTATTGTATGAATGTCAATGGAGGACAATTTAAACATTTGACTAAAAAACGCAGTTTTAATTTTTTTGATTGTAAGCATGGGAAATTTTTTTAATTACTATGGGATAAGAAATATACGGGGTGGCTCGTCTGAGATGGAATACCATGTACGTATTATACATATAACATCCTGTTGATATAAATTCAGCCAAAATTTCTTTTGGTTGAGATATTGTTGGGTTCCCACTTACTTTTGGGTTCCCATTATTTCCTTTTATTAAAAAAAAACAATGTCGGTTATTTAAAAGACAGTCGTTAATAAGCGAATCTTAAAAAGACGAAATTTTATTTTAAACTTAATTACATTTTGCATCTTTGCAATCTATATCTTCGTTTTGATTGGTTAAGAAGTTTGGCTACAAAGCAAACTATTTCTACAAGATTCTCAAGAATGAGGCTCCGATCGTTTGGCATCATGAACACTATATGTTCTTTGAAACTTATGAAGAAGCTCAATGAAATAAGTCCTCGGTATTAAAAATGTTAAAATGCTGTTACTTTGTCAGCTAGAGCACGTTATACAATAATTAAACTAAAAATTTAAGATATAAACACCCCTAAAATGTCAATAAAAAAAATGTCAACTTTTTTGACAAGTAACCATAGGCATACTTATGAATCTTTATTAATTAAAAGCGAAAATTACATTTTATTGTTAATTTATTTTATCCATCAAAATTACAAATCCAATCAAAATTAGTATGTCTGAATAAGTATTCTAAATACCTTTTAAACGAGGTGTCACTTGCCAAAGGGTCCCATTTAATAGTATTGGTTCCAGTCGTCTTATGACGTCATCGATGATTATTACGTCGCTTGTTAGGGTCCGATTACAATTAGAAGAACACCGCTAAGTCATAACCACTACTTCGAATTTCGAATGCATGTTATCAATAACTATAATAAAATAAAAAATAAGTAAGTTGTTAGGTATAAAACAATATTTCTAATATTCCTACAATATTAACACTCCACTAAACCCCCAGTAGGCGGCGATAACCAATTAATTACTTTGCTAAATGATAACGTAGCTGTGTTCGTCTAATTTTAATCGGATCCTACTACTAGTAGAAAAGCTTACAATAGTTCGTTTTCATACTCCAAATTTCATCAGTCTAAGTGTCACCGTTCAAAAGAAAACATGAGGATGAAGACTTTTGAGAAGCACTGTATAAATTATTTGGTCAAATGTATTAAAACAACTGTGTTAACAAGTTTATTCATGTTCCTATGCTTTTACTTTTACGTAAAGTAACTTTAAAATATAAAAACCAAATACTGTAAAACAAAGGTCGATAGGAATTAACAAACGAATCATTCGAAATACATCCACAGTAATTCTCTTTTGGGCTAAAACGACTTATATAGCAAGTGTAGAACCTCCCTAGGCTATGATTCTATAATTGACTCTAAATTGCACTTCGGCAAAGTTGAATAAACGAATATAGTGCAATTTTAAAGTTTTATTTAAGTTTATTATTTGAAAATATACAGGATGTAAAAACTATTAGTATTATTGTGTTAAAGCTAGTCATCCCTGGCAAACTAAATAAGCCAAATGTGTTTAAAATGGTTTATTTTATTATCTAGCATTTATGAGTAGATCAGATTAGCCAGTTCTGGACCAAGGTCAGAGGTAGAGAGAGAGGTAATTGGGTAATTAGTAATTATCCTTAGTACCCACCCCTCACCCTTTGCGCAATTAGCAAGTACCTCCCAATTACTATCATGTACTGTAATGAGTGTAATTGCGTAGTGTAATGATGCCTCTCATTACTCCATATACCTAGAGGTGTAAGTACCTCTCAGAGAGTATTTACTATGTAATGTGTAACGAGCATAGTAAGTACCCATCAAAGTGTAAGTACCTCTTACTATGTATATCATATAATGAGTTTAGTCTAAATACATCTCAGTGATTACTATTGTGGCATAGGGAAAATAAGTCCTTGTCTAAACACATCCTTGACTCCCAACCGCCATAGCTAGAGTGAAGCGCTAGTCTTCAGCAGACACGGGCCACGTAAACATTGGTAGAAGGGGTAGAACCCCACCCTTCGCGCATCTTCAGACTTGTATATTATGAATAGCATAGGAGAGGTGGGAATTTTTAGAGAGGGTATATAATAGCGCCCATATCCAAATTAAATCAGTTTAAAATCGTAAGCTTTAAGCGGGTGCCTCTCAGGCTTGTATATTATGAATATGAATTGCATAGGATCTTGGACACCAATGCTTTTTAAATGGAAAACGTGTAGTTCACTCTGTACAGTAGAGTGCTGTTCTGTTTTGCTGTCTCCGTTTCTCGTTAGCTTCTTCCCTCCGCTTTATTCCTTCGGCACCTCTATCACATCTACATGTGGATTTATCATGAAATTAGTAATAATTACAAAGAAAAACAAATTAAGAAAAAGAAACTAATTACAAGTTTACTGAAAATGGGCCTAAATAAAAAAGCTGAGCTTCAAAGAAAGACAATGTTGAAACTTATTGAGTTACTGTAAATACTTAATGCTGTTACTTTAAAAATATAATTTTAAAACGAAATATATTTTATTATCCAATGTTGACTTTTTCTTATAACAAATAACTTTTTCCCATTTAAATTATTAGCAATATTTGTCCTATCTTTACTTAAATGTCCACACCAACACTCTAGTGTCCAGAGTGAACTACACGTTTCCCATTTAAAAAGCATTGGTGTCCAAAATCCTATGCAATTACACTCATTACAGTACATGATAGTAATTGGGAGGTACTTGCTAATTGCGCGAAGGGTGGGGGTGGGTACTTAGGATAATTACTAATTACCCAATTACCTCTCTCTGTACCTCCGACCTTGGTCCAGAACTGGCTAATCTCATCTACTTCAATGGTATTTAAAAATTATTAAATTATACCAAGGACAAAATTATTTAAAAAAGACGGATATTCTGTGGTGTCCGTTATGGGACCATATCTCCGAAATCCTACGATACAGTATATTTAAATATAAATTAAATACATACTTAAAACAAAAAATTCAAGACAATAGAAGAAATCGTGCACTCAATTGAGTTTATTGCATTAAACAGGTGAAAAACATAAAATAATTTACAATATTATAGTAAGGAAAGGTTTTTATGAAGGATATACTACAATAATTAAAAATATTGATCTGAGATTCAACCGTAGAATAATTTTGAGTATTTATAGAGGAAACGACTTACATTAATCCTAGTAGTATTTTGATAAAATACCTGATTAAGGCGCGAATTACTTCTTGGAATGCAAAAGTTTAATATAGGTTAATAATGAAAATGTACTCTAGTTCATTATTGACAATTTTTCGTAATTTAGAATTAATATCTGAAGCTAAATAAATATCTTGCCATGTTTCTTTGATTAAACATCAGGCTCACACTAAGAATACTTGATAATAAAATTGTTACCTACAAAACGTCCAAATAAATATTCTGTTAAAAGTAATTTTATTGTTTCAGCGGTGTCAGTGCGAACGTGTCCAAAGAAAGTCTTCCGAACGAGCCATCAGCCTTTAAGCACATCCAATACGGCTCTACGGGCAATCAAGACGAAGCGCTCCTGAACTCGAACAGTCAAAAAGGTGGTGGTAAACCGTCCGGTCAGCATGAACATCAGCATGACGATTTCACCGACATCGTTGACTACATCATGTTGGACGAACCGGAAAGGGACAAATTTAGGAATTCAATGGACAAACGTCAGCCTGTCATTTACGATGAGAAATTTAAGGACAAGAATAAAAACAAAAAGGAGCTTCCTACTATTGGGAAAATAAAGAAGATGACAATTGAGTAAGTACATTTTGCAGCTTTTGCGTTTTCGTGCCGGGGTCGACGATTTTGTGTTTGAAGTGTTTATATGCCGAGGCACGTGCTGCTGAAAATACACTTTCTTTTCATTTATAAAATATATTTCTTTTATAAAATAAATATGATGAAAAACTGTTCTTTCACGACAAAACGCATGTGGTGCTTTTATTTCGAAATCGGCCAGTCGAAATAACTTTTGATTTTACGAAAATTTAAGATATCAAGGGAAATGTGTAATATGATACTTGTCATTTTATCTATTTTTTATAGTGTTTTAAGCTCTAATATTTTTGGGAGTGGGTCAGGTTATTAAATAACTCGTATTACTTTGAAAAAGAATGTTGGGCACCACTATATTTAAAACTTACTAAACTTGACTATCGATTAGTGACAAAAATATAGAAAATCACCAACCATTAAGATACTATAATCAAACAAAGCTCTAGACAAGGTAGCAACAAATTCTAATTCACAGAGATTTACTTATTCAAATTTAGATGATTTATTAAAAATAGACTTATCTGTTGTAACAAGAGGTAGTATATAAAGAGTGATTTGTATTGGCCTTCTTCGAAGGGACTCGAACGATACTCTTCGGACAGCACCAAACTCCTAGGTATACATCTTTATAAACTTAAATCTCCAAAAAGCTTCTTCAGATGTAACTTGAACCAAACCTCTTGATATAGCTTGAAATAAACTTCTTGATAGAAATCACCATAAACAGTTTTAGGTATATCTTGAATTAAACTTCTAAGATATGACACGAAATAAACTTCTTCGATACAGCTTGAACTAAACTTCTAAACCGTCTAGATATAGCCAGGCTAAAATGGAAAAGGTAAAAATATTAAGAAAGGAACTAGGAAATGTGCATAGGAACCAGATAAAATGCCTTTAACTAATAATTGAACAATTTAAACTATTAAGTGAATAGTTTCACAGAGACTAAAATTAATATGAAAAGGAAAAGTCTTATTTAACATATTTAAAAATAGTAAAGCATAATATCTCATTCAAACAAAATAATATATAAAATTATATAAAACGTTTTATTATGTGTTATTCAGGTATTGCGGTTATGTTTAAAATTTTACATTTCATTTAAGAAATTCTTGTACAAAATATATATTTTCAACAATATATTGGTATTCAAACTTACCTTATAAAATCAGACGGCCTATACGATAGATAAACTTTATTTAGTACATCGGATGACCTAGATAATTTAAAATTTAAATCAACATGCTTCGTTGACAGATATAAATCGAAAATGAATTACCAACTTTTGAAGCAAGGCATAAACGACAAATGACATTAGAGTAGAGATGTTTGCGTCAAAATAACGAAAACGGTTCCAACCGTTACAATGTTTGGGTCTAAATAACGAAAACGGTTACAACCGTTACAAATGTTATTCTTTTATTTTCCAGTTTCGCCCCGTTAGCGACCCTTATCCCTTATAAAAAAGTTAAATGGACACGCCTGCCTTGTGATACATCAAATTTAAACCTAAGAAAAATGTAAGCCAACCATATATACACAAATTATGTCGATTTATTTTTCAGGTACTATTGAACATAATGAAATTCGACGACGAAAAACTACTAGACCAATTTTGTTTATAAAAATCGAATTGCAAACATTCACGGTGTCATCCACATAGTTGCCAAATTATTATAGAAGAGTACGGCTAGAGTATCGTTACAAGAATTGTTTATGGTTATATTCTGTATTAACTAAACATAAGACTAAAGCGCACAAAATGCTTCTATAATTACATTGGGGAAGTATATTTGCATTATTAATGTCAGTTATTATCAGTTTAATGTATTTTCTCTATTGTACGCAATTAATTTTGAAGTATAACAGCAGTGTAAAGTAAGCGTAATAGAATTAAATACTGATTCATTCATAAAATGCATGTTCGCTTTGCAGATACACATACTCGCACAAACCATCCCCACTCAAATTAGTAACTGTCTCCTTCCTTCTAATGCGGAGCTGATGCGACAACTCTATCTGCGTAATAATTAATACAATTAAGGTTTACTTTGAATAGTTATTTACATGTCCCATTTGTGGAAAGTAATCTGGGTTCTCAAGGGAAATCATCATGTTTAAAGTTTACCAAGTTTGATAAATTAGTAAAACAGTTGGAGGATGAATTGGGTTTTCCCCAAAATGTAGGTCCAGCATAATTCTTTGGCTGTCGAAGTTTAGACAGAAGAGGATACGGTGTACTGGTGTGTCTTCTACGCCATAGTTCATGCAGTTTTAGACTATCTGCTTTTCCTATTCTGTGAAGGTAAATTACAGTGTTTCCATGTCCTCCGGATAGGATGCTTAAAAGGTTCTGTTCTGTTCTCTACACTTCTTTAGTGTTATTGTCCGACTCGACTTGCCATATCTGTACCAATAAAAGCGCCATCCAGAATCTGTAGTCTGCTGCTACGATGTGGTTTCCTGCGAAGTAGGTCTATCCTGCTTTCTTTAGGTCAGACATCGATTTGAGGAACATCAGGTGTAGGTGTAGTGGAAGCTGCTTTGCCAAAATATATAGAGTGTCGTCGATGTGGAGGTGTATGTTACCAAGATAACCATCATAACACCTATGCTAATATTGAAAATCCAACAATTGACAGCTATCCGCAAATTAGAAAAAAATCAAAGAACAGCATGGACTTGCAACTTTTGAAATGAAAGCACTGTATATAGAAATTACATTAAAAATTCTGCCGATCATTGGATAGATAAAAAAATTTGATTGTAATATTTTTGAGTACGTACTTCAAAAATTAAATACATATCCACTTGATATCTTGATATAATTATCGGTACTACAGATCTATAGAGTTGTAGAGGTGTGGATTTTATTTCTATATTATATGATTGATTGATAAGATTGATAACTTATACTTCCTGTGATTGCAATTTATTTACTTTTAAAAAATTTGATTTTTCATTAATTTTCTGTTGATATAATCTCCGAAAGTACTCTATTTAAGTCCGTATAAGCCATTTGATAAAATTTATCTCATTAAAATTTGATAAAGTTTTATTTAGTTTTTTTTTATAAATAGTCAACAGTTTTTACCGCACACAGACAGTCAGTATCATATAAATATTGGAAAGTTTGGTGTGGCATTTCGTGTAACGTTTCTAATATTCAGGGTCATATGATTGAACGTTTACGTTATCCGTAACGTACATGTTAGGCCGAGTTTTAACATTAACGAGGCAAGTTCGTATGATGGAAAACTTTTTCCAGCACATTACTGTTATTTTCCGCTTATTATGTTCTAATTTAACTTGCCTCGTTACTGTTAAAACTCGGTCTAACATGTACGTTACGGATAACGTAAACGTTCAATCATAGCACCCTCAGTCGTTGACAAATTCAACAATGAGCAATGCGTTAAGGTGGTAGAAGCTTTTTATGAAAATGGGCGTTCACATAAAGATGCATATCGTGCACCTCGTGATTTTTTTGGTCAACATAATCGACCAAATGTGCGTACAATCGGAAAAATTGTGCTTAAACTTCAGAAAACCGGGTCTGTAGGAGATGTGAAAACACAAAGACATTACAACATATAGACAAAATGTTTCATTCATAAATCCCATACAATTGCGGACTGTTATTGTTTTAAAATTGTTAGTGAGTGGAAGAGAGAAAGACAGATCTCTTAGGACCGGCTGGCAACGTTGTAAACAGTGTCCATAATATGCTCGCCAGTGGCGTATAGTTTTAAACTTACCAGTATTGTCAGAGTAGTATGTTAAAAAAAATACGTAAATATGTAGGTATATTTTTTTAGTAATATAATTTCGATGATTTTTTCATGTAGGTAGATTAGATTAGATTATGAGCTGGACGTTATTTGTCCTTGTCCACCGCGACCTTTTCAGATCTATTGTGGGACTCCTGTTTATTTTAGAGTATGTCGTCTAGCCTGGTCTTTTTTATTAGTCTTAGTAGCTTTGACAGAGGCTCCCGCATGTAATTGCATGCAATTGGCTTTTCTTCGCCCAATGTTATAAACCTCGTTCCAGCCAGGCATTCACATTGGCACAGGACGTGGAATATTGTTTCCCCTTCTTCTTCACAGAACCTGCACAAAGTTGCTTCTTCTGCTGGATTTATGACACTCATGTGCCTTTTGAGGCGACAGTGTCCAGTAAGAAGGCCTACGGTTATCCTAACGGTTTGACGCTTTTGATCCAGTAGGTCTTTCGTGAACTTGGCCGATAGTTCCTTGATGAACTGTTTGGCCTGTCTAAGTCTTGGATAGTTGTTCCACCATTTCTGAGACTTTTTTTGCATCCATTGTTCAATGGATGTCTTGCACGATGCCTTAGCAACTCCACAGAAGGGTTCGAGGCATCATGGCCTTACCTGAGCCTTCTCGGGCTAATTCGTCGGCCTTTTCGTTGCCCTGATATCCCTCATGGCCTGGAACCCAGGCTAAGGTCACCTTATTTTAACTACTTAGCTCTGTCGGGTCTTCTAGACTGTCTTTTACCAGTCGTGATTTGATTTATGGTGAGAGAATTGCCTTTAGAGTTACTTGGCTATCAGAGTATATGGCAATAGTTTTGCATGATACTTGCTGATTTTTCATGTAGGTAAATTCAAGTACAAGTAAATTCAAATACAAACGAATTCAAGTTAAGTACCTTTCGATTTTTAATATTTATTGGTTTATAGTTTATTGGCATTTACTATTTATTTGCCTGGTATGATGTTAACCAAAATTATTTAAAATTTTAAATTAATATTAAGTAGGTAGGAGTATCTAAATAAAACACTGTCCTAAAAATATATAATTTTTTAATTAATAATTACAAAAAAACATGGTATGGCAAAAAATATTGTAAAAAAACTGTAAAATTTTTTAAAATAACGTTTTAAATATATAAAATACTTTAATTTTATTAACTAAAATTTCATTTAATTTTTTTATGCTTTGTTATTAATG